ATGCACAAGTGAGAATAAAGAATTCCCAATGGTGATGACACAGGGAAGAGAAAATATTCCTATTTTATTCACATAGGCAAGTATCATGCAGACATTTAGAATATAAAGTTAAACCATATAAAAAGGCACAGTATTACAAAATATGTTTTCAAATATTGCTTTTCTACAGACTTTCCTATTGGAAAGACATTTTAAAACTTGCTCATTACCCAGTCATAAAGAAATAAAAAACTACCTCATAAGACTCTCAAATGTGAACTCTTTCTCTATCCATTAGGTAGGTGCAAAAAAAATAAAGTACTTGTCTCTCCAGTTCTATACTTCCAACCAAGATGACAATAGTACAAAACAACATAGCAATTTTCAGGTTAAACTTTTCTCTAATAAAAGCAATGCTTTTTAAAAAGCAAAACTCAAAAACCAATTAGTATTTGTAGGTAAAGACATTTAAAATTTTTTCACTGTGTCAGAAAACCAGAAAGGGGCAATTATACTGCTAAGGACATACCATACTCCTAAAGGCTAAACTAAGTAACAAGGAACCCTAAGAAGACATCAATGAAGCTCACAGACGACTGTGTTGTTTTTAATATTAGTGTGGAAGAAACTTTAAGAAAATATTGTTCTACTTCTAATTTTCTTTTAACTAAAATGGTTAAGCCATTGCAAAAATAACCACAACATTTTCTAGATAAAGTCTTAGTAGGTTAAGAGCATTTCCATGAAATTAGGGCCACAGAAATAAGCAGATTGACCACAGAAAAACTCAATAAACGTCTTGCAACCAAGACTTCCACACTTTCTAAGGAAGGCCTTATGCTTGTAAATCTCCAACAGCACCAAAAATGAAGATATTTTTTTCCACTTCCCCTCCTCTATGCACACCACGTACAAGCTCTTCCAGCAGAGAGGCAGCTTTATGATATTGGCCATAGTCTGCAAAGTAGTAGGTGTGTGAGAAATTCAGTGTGATAGCATAGCCATTATTTTATAGTCACTGTTTTGATTTTCAAGAGAATTGCTGTATTTTAAAAAAAATCCAAATTTTTTGACAGATGCTTATTTTTAGGTCTAGCTATATACACCTCAGTTGAGAGAAATTTCCAAAGAGGTGATTATGGCTATCTGCCCTTCTCTGCTGTTGCAGGGTGGTCATATTTAAAGAACACAGGAGATAATTGTTTATAGGAATGGAAAACTCAATACACACACGAGTTAAATACAGAAACCAAATAATGATCTGAAAAACTAAAAAATATTAACATCACATGTAAGTTCAATATAATTCAGTGTTTAGTGTATGTTAAATATTCCTTATTATTTTATTGATTTTTAAAGATATAGTAGTCATAATTATTTATCACAAGCACTAATAATTATTCACCTTTCTAGGGCATTTGGTTTTTGCTGTTTTTAGCACAGCTAATATACTAGTAAAGGAGGGGAAAAGAATTATATTTACCTGTTTGAAATTAAAAAAAAAATTCAGTGCCCAAAGTTTACTTGTAAAACTCAGAGACAAAGATACCCTTTCTTCACAACATTCAAAAATATGTTTAAATTTATAATTTAATATACAGATTCTATTATCTTGAATTAATTCATAATATTTCAATAGAGATATAATATATGGATATGTAAGTTAGTTAATGAATCTAACTGTTTAATCAATTTTATTAACTGTTTCAGAAGAAAATAAGTAATAATAAAATAACTATTAAAGATTTTAGATTATATGTATAGCTAATCTTCTATGACAAATCATAAATTTTTATATAATAATTTAACTTAGATGATTCTGGATTAGAAAAAATCCACACAGCTTCAAATAATGCAAGTTTATTATGAAAAAAATTTTGACAAAAATACCTTTAAGTGCTAAATATATATAAAACCTTGAATGGTATTCCTATTCTTTCTCCTGTCAACTCTTTTTTCTTTAAACAACAATAATACATTACAGCCCAGAATTTCACATAACATTTTTATTTTATAAAAGGTGTTTTGCTAACAAATATGCAGATGATTTAGAGTAGAAGTCATGAACATTAAAACTATATTTAAATCTAACTTCAGGTCTTAACGACAAACTGTGGGATACAAAGCTGAGATATATAAAAGCAAATTTATAATATATGATATACTCTACACTTTGATAAATACATTTTTCTGTGTGTAAATAAAGTAATTATTTTGCTTTATCATGATGTTCATAAAAACATTTTATAACGAAACAGTGCTTAACTTCCATAAAAATGAACATATCAGTGTAATGATAGCAGATATACAAACATTCCAAGTAAAATTATAAGAAGCATATGAACTTTAACACTTAACGTCTGACTAAGACTCTTCCTCCTCATCACTACTGTAACTGTGAGTCATAATCCATTCCCTGTAGACCTGAATTTTCTGTAAGCATGGCAAAGGAAAAAGAAGCATAAAGGTTAGTTAAGTATGAAAAACTGCGGGGAAAACATTAAAATTATGAAATGTTAAGGTGTTTTAGTAACTTTAAAACAGAGTTTTATCTGTGATTCATCCTGTAACTGTGGATATAATACTTTTAACTTAAAAAACCTAAAAGTGACTTCCATATACACATTCATGTCAGACATGGTTCCGTGTATCAATAAGGTGTTTTAGGAATATAGTGACTTTTCTACTTCCTTACAAGTCACTTAATTGCCTACTAAGAAGCACTGAAATAATATCCTACTTTTTAGATAGAATGACATAAATGAACATATTTTATATTTACTATGTATAAGCATATATAATTTAGTCAACACAGATAACCTTTTTGTAGAAAGCGAAAAAAGGCAGAGACATTAGAAAGTAGGAAGTAACAAACATTTTATAAAGCACTCTCAGTAAATCATTTAGGTGAAATCTAGGCAGATTACATTTCTATCTTTTCAGACAGGGTCTCATTATCCCAGGTGACCTCATACTTGCTATATAGTTTAAGATGACCTTGAAATTCTGATCCTCCTGCCTCCATTTCCCAACTGCTGGATTATACAGGCATGTACCACCACACCTGGCTTACGTAGTGCTCAGGACAGAATTTAGAGGTTCTTGCTTGCTATAGAAGAAAAGAACTCTACCATTTTATTTTGCATTTTTATTACATTATATTTTAACAAATGTACTAAAATATAGCAGTTTTTTTAGAAAAGCACTATTACTATCAGAACAGCAACTTTTTACATCTATAAACAAACAATGCTAACTGTAAACATACCAAGACATCTTATGAATTCATGTAAGTATTCAAGTGTGTTACTTGATAATTCAAGTATTACTAGTGTGTCTGACACTCTTGCTCAAAAATACACAAAGCTGACAAAGATCATGAGATTTTATTTCCTGAGACAGAATGATTAGCAGACTGGTGCACTGAAAAGTCTTTAAACATGACGAATGGAGATTCATGTTCTTTGTTTTGTTTTTTTGAAATTTATGGTTTTAAATTCCAAAGAAAACAATTAAGGTGTGGAATGAACTTTCTAGCCACTGAAATCCAGTTATCAACCAAGAAAAACTTTTGGCATAATATGTTCCTGGATAACAAGGATAGTATGTTTCTAAATTCTCCTCACTACAAATTCCTATTTTATAGCAAACATATTGAGAAATATCCTTATTTTTTAACTATATTTTGAAAACCCTTCAGCTTTCAGTATAGCAAAAAGGATGTTAATTTTTCTCTAAAAAGGGCAGGCAGATACTGGGTGGAAATGCTTCAGCTGGACCGGCCAGAGGTAACAGTTACAACTTTTCTGGCTGTCAAGAATAAGGCTCTCCTAGCAGAGCTTGCAGAACATGTCTCTTAGGTATACCCTCCCAAAAGACTGCCAATTCTATCTCAATTTGCAAGTATTCTGGCACCTTAATAAGACTTAAAAATCAAGGTAAAAGTTACTGTACTTCAATGCTATGGTTACATTTTAATATATTGAACAGATGAACCAGAGGAGAGGTAAAGTATATGTAATGCAATAATATATACTCTACATGTAGCAGTAAAATACTAAAAGTTTAAAATTTTTATCTCGGTTATTTTAAACTTGAGAAGTTCCATGTTTCAACAGTTTATTATTATCACGAATATTTTCGAACCTGTAAAAATTCTGACCTCTTATTTTCAAATAAATGGCTTATGTTTCCTCACCAAAACCATAGTAACAATCTTACAATGGGATAGCCTGGGATATGAGTTATTATTTCCACATAATCTAAGTTTTAAAACTTGAGTTATCTAGTGACAAAGTTATCTAAACTGACAAGCCATTCCAGCTTCAGACTATATTGTCTCCCAAATTGTATTTCTTTACCAGAAGATACTACTAGTGCAACAAATCCCACACATACTAATATGAGCATCCTCAAAGAATGCTTAAGAACCATGGATGATCAGCAGTGGCAGAGTTACTGAGCTTTATTTTCCCTCCCTTAATGAATAAATTAGAAATAAAGATTATATTTAATATAAAAGCTAGTAGTGGTATGAAAGAGTAGAGAAAGTCCCCCAAACAGAAACAACCTGAATATGTGCTATCAACTCTAAATGGCATGAAGGCACACATTGGCTTTTGCCAGATCTAGGATACCCAAAGCAGAACTAAGAATAGTCTATGAAAAGATTAGACTGACTGACATTCCTAAGTTACCTATACATAATCTTTTCTTTATATTCAAAATTCTGAAACAGCTGCAGAGTTTGTAAAACTTTAAGACTAAAATCTAATGTTGGCTTTTACTTGCAAAGTCATGCATTAACAGTTTTCATATCAAACTTTTTGATGCCTGTAAAAAAGAAAAAAAAATCTTATAGTAAACAGATATACTTTAAAGCCTAAGTAAATAAAAGTATAAATAAAGCTAAATAAGATAAATAAAAGCCTAATCTATTTTTAGGTATTGTGTAACTATTTTAAAATACCCTAAGTTGTGAGATTTGAACTTAGTTTGTAGTAAGACATTCCTTCACTTACCTGTAACATTTGATTTCCTGAACCATCCCGCAACCTGTAAGGTCTGATAACTCCATCTTCATTAAAAAACCGGGGAGGTCTCAGACTTTCAACTTCAAAAGTCTCTGTAGCTCTAAAACAAAAATAATACATATATACATATACATATATAACTTATCATATATACATATATAAAACTTAATTTTAAAAATTATCAAAATCCTGCACTTATGGCCCAGGAAACATCATGAAAGAAAACATGGAAAGGATATTAAGAGCCAGAATATCATGAAGTCGACTGTGAGACAGTCTGTCCTAGAAATGGCCATTAAAAACAAGACTATATAGTATCAATGAACATGTTAATGCGGAAAGGGAAAACTTCTCAGGGTCCCACTCATACACAAAGAGCTACAGACATCTGGTGACTGCATGGAGGAGGAGAAGTAACCTCTTCCAGGGATGAGTCCCTACTGGTTGCCCACACAGAGTGCTCAGCTTAATACCACAGAACACAGGTAACTGAGTAAGTTATATTTATTTGTATATATATGCATGTAATAAACATAATAAAAGACAAAGAAGGCTATCAACTTGAGGCATGGGAAGAGCTTGTGGGAAGGTAGCTGGGGAGGGCTGAAGGAAAAGAAGTAATGAAGTTCCACTTCAATTAATACATCAAAAACTTCTTAAAATAGTATAAAATACTTAAATACTAATACAAATAATAAAACTAAAATAATCTCAGATAAATAAGACCACCACATAACTTCTCTATTTTTAAATGCTTTTATGACATAATCAAATTTCCTAGAAAAAAGACTATATTAAAAAATCTGTTAATCAATTCCCTTGGACTTCCTTTGTGATGAGGATCAGAAAAAAGATTTTGTTTTGTTTAAATGGGAGATACACATGTGACCAAAACCCACAGAGATGGCAGGTGCAGTGGTGCACAACTGTAATCCCAGCGCTCAGAGAGGCAGAGGCAGGCAGACTGCTGTGAGTTTGAGGCCCGCCTGGTCCACAAAGCCAGTCCAGGACAGCCAAGGCTACAACAGAGAAACCCTATCTCGAAAAACAGAAAACGAAGACAAAAACCCACACAGATGTTCACCATCATATGCAATTAAGCAGATGTAACTTCAAACCTCAATTAGATACTACTTTATATCCAATAAAAAAACAGGCAGAATGAGCACAGCTGAGGAAGACCAGGACTAGACAAAAAAAAAAAAATCTCTAACAAAGAACATCAGGGTGAAAAAAAGTAAGAAATTCTGTTCTTTACTGGTTATGAAATGTCTCTGCATTTTAAGTGTGTACTGACATGAGCCAAACAAACTCTTCCATCCTTACGTTGCTTTTGTCAGGACTGTTTTATAGAGGTTTAGGAAAAGAAGGCAGTCACTAAGTGAAGAGATGGATTTGTCTTATTTGAAAATATAATATAAAATATATTTCATAATCTGATATAAAATATAGATAAATATAAATATATTTAGCTATTCTCCAATGGAATGAATACATTATTATACATAATAACTTGTTTTGGACAGGGATGCCGGTTTGGGGAGGGGAAACCTCATTCAACGAATGAGTACTTTCCTCATTTGTTCCCTCTTGCTTTTCAAACTTATCCAGCCCTATTCTTTAACCTCTGGCTGTTACTACCTCCTACACAATCAAGTTCACAAATGGTTGGCCATCTTCCCCTATGCATCTGAGGGTAGCCAACTGGGATCAAAGGCTTTTGTGAGAAGGGAGTGTTGAGTAGCTACTTTATACAAAGAATGAGAATCTCTGTAATACAATGTTTAAAAGAGGAAATGGAAAATGATTATTAGAAAATAATATAGAAAATTCAAAATACACACCATTTATCCAGAGAAAGCTGCACATATTTTTAGTGCACATGAGTAACAGGGCTCGCTCTATCTCTATCTATCTATCTATCTATCTATCTATCTATCTATCTATCTATCTATCTATCTATCTTTCATTGTTTTCCCCCTCCAGACATGGTATTACTGAAACTCACTAGGCCAGGTCACCTCAAACTGTCCTCTGCCTCCAAAGCACTAGAACTAAAGGTATGTACCCAATACACATGACCATGAGTTGCAGTCTTAAAAATGAACAAAACTTAAATATTCATCTGCTGATGAACAGGTAACCAAAGATGGTTTAAATGAAAAATGTCTCCCATAAGATCATAAATTTAAACACATGGTCCGGAGCTGGTACTACTGGTTGTGGGGGCGGGGCATGAAACTTCAGGGATGTGGAATGGCTTCCAGGAAGTGTGTCACAGGGACTAGTCTTTCAGAGCTTATAGACTTGTTACATGTCCAATTCATATTCTGTTTTCTCCTTGTGGTTAGAAATCTGATCAGCCAACTTTCTACTTCTGCCAGCTGTTGCCACGGCCTCCCCACCATTAACAGACTGGAACTGTGAAACCATTGTAAACCTCTGGGACTGCATGCCAAAACAATTACTTCTATAAATTGCTTTTGAGAATGGTATTTTATCATAGTAAAAAAAAAATGAAGCTAATACAGTTATATATCTAAATAATAAAATATTACTCAGCAATAGAAGGGAAGCTCTCCTTTTTGCTACATCATAAATGAACTTTGAAAACATGCTGGGTAAAAGAAACCAGTCACAAAAGACTCCAAATTGTACAAATCCATTTACATATACTATCCAAAACAGACAAATCCATACACAAAAAGGAAATTGTGATGGCTAATGCTAAGAGGAGATGAAAATGGTGAGTGACTGCTAACAAACATGAGATTTCTTTTGGGGATGATAAAAAAGGGGATTTGTTAGTGATGGCTATAGAATAATAATAAAAAAAAATTGCTGCATGTAATGTCTACTTCAAGGTGACGACTTTTATAGTATGCTTCCAGAATATATACGAATAGAAGACCCTGATATAAACCACACACTTATGGACACCTGATTTTTGACAAAGACACCAAAACCATACAATGGAAAAAAGACAGCATCTTTAACAAATGGTGCTGGACTAACGGGATGTCTACATGTAGAAAAATGCAAATAGATCCATACTTATCACCCTGCACAAAACTAAAGTCCAAGTGGATCAAAGACCTCAATATAAAACTAGACACACTAAATCTGTTAGAATGAAAAGTGGGGAACAGCCTAGAACTCATTGGCACAGGAGACAACTTTCTGAACAGAACACCAATAGCACAGGCTCTAAGAGCAACAATTAATAAATGGGACCTCATGAAACCGAAAAGTTTCTGTAAAGCAAAGGATACTGTTGTCAGAACAAAACGACATCCTACATACTGGGAAAGAATCTTCACCAACCCTATATCTGACAGAGGGCTAATATCCAGTAAATATAAAGAACTCAAGAAGTTAAACAACAACAAATCAAGTAATCCAATTAAAAAACAGGGAACAGAGCTAAACAGAGAACTCTCAATAGAGGAATATCGAATGGCAGAGAAACACTTAAAGAAATGCTCATCGTCCTTAGTCATCAGGGAAATGCCAATCAAAATGACTCTGAGATTTCACCTTACACCAATCAGAATGGCTAAGATCAAAAACTCAAGTGACAACACATGCTGGAGAGGGTGTGGAGAAAGGGGAACCCTCCTCCACTGCTGGTGGGAATGTACACTTGTATAATCACTTTGGAAATCAATCTGGTGTTTTCTCAGACAATTAGGAATAGTGCTATTTGAAGACCCAGCTATTCCACTCCTAAGCATATATCCAAAAGATGTTCAAGCATACAACAAGGACATTTGCTCAACCATGTTTGTACCAATTTGTAATAGCCAGACGCTGGAAACAACACAGATCGCCCTCAGTTGAAGAATGGATACAGAAATTGTGTTACATATATATAGTGGAATACTACTCAGCAATAAAAAAACAAGGAAATTGAGGCGGGGCAAGGTGGCAGCGCCAGGAGGGCTCTAAGTGCCTTCAAGAAGAAATTCGAGACAGCTCATTCAAGCAACTTAATGGCTCACTTAAAAACCCTAGAAAAAGAAGAAGCAGACACACCAAGAAGGAGTAGACGGCTGGAAATAATCAAACTCAGGGCTGAAATCAATCAGTTAGAAACAAATAAAACAATTCAAAGAATCAATGAAACCGAGAGCTGGTTCTTTGAGAAAATCAACAAGATAGACAAACCCTTAGCCAGGCTAACTAAAAGGCAGAGAGACACCACCCAAATCAACAAACTCAGAAATGAAAAGGGGGACATAACTGAGGAAATCCAAACAATCATTAGGACTTACTTCAAAAGTCTATATGCCACAAAATTTGAAAATCTAAATGAAATGGACAATTTTCTTGATCGATTTGACTTACCAAAGCTGAATCAGGACCAGGTAAATCAATTAAATAGTCCTATATCCCCCAAAGAAATAGAAGCGGTCATCAAAAGTCTCCCAACCAAAAAAGCCCAGGACCAGATGGTTTCAGCGCAAAATTCTACCAGATCTTCAAAGAAGAGCTAACACCAATTCTCTTCAAACTATCCCACAAAATAGAAACAGAAGGAACATTACCAAACTCATTCTATGAAGCCACAGTCACCTTGGTACCTAAACCTCACAAAGACTCAACAAAGAAAGAGAATTTCAGGCCAATCTCCCTTATGAACATTGATGCAAAAATACTTAACAAAATACTTGCAAACCGAATACAAGAACACATCAAAGATATTATCCACTATGACCAAGTAGGCTTCATCCCAGGTATGCAGGGGTGGTTCAATATACGGAAATCCATCAATGTGATCCACCATATAAACAAACTGAAAGAAAAAAAAACCACATGATAATCTCCCTAGATGCTGAAAAAGCATTTGACAAAATCCAACATCCATTCATGTTTAAAATATTGGAGAGATCAGGGATACAAGGCACATATCTAAACACAGTAAAGGCGATATACAACAAGCCTATAGCCAACATCAAACTGAACGGAGAGAAACTTAAAGCAATCCCACTGAAATCAGGAACAAGACAAGGCCACCCATTCTCTCCATATCTCTTCAGCATAGTGCTGGAAGTCCTTGCTAGAGCAATAAGACAGTTGAAGGAGATCAAGGGGATACAG